AACACTCCCAAACTCATTCTATGAGGCCACCATCACCCTGATACCAAAACCAGACAAAGATACTACAAAAAGAGAAAATTACAGACCAATATCACTCATGAATATAGATGCAAAAATCCTCAACAAAATACTAGCAAGCAGAATCCAAGAACACACTGAAAGGATCATACACTGTGGTCAAGTGGGATTTATCCCAGGGATGCAAGGATTCTTCAATATATGCAAATCAATCAATTCGATACACCATATTAACAAACTGAAGAAGAAAAACCATATGATCATCTCAATAGATGCAGAAAAAGCTTTTGACAAAATTCAACACCCATTTATGATAAAAACTCTCCAGAAAGTGGGCATAGAGGGAACCTACCTCAACATAATAACGGCCATATACAACAAACCCACAGCAAACATCATTTCAATAGTGAAAACTGAAAGCAATTCCTCTAAGATCAGGAACAAGAAGACAAGGATGTCCACTCTCACCACTATTATTCAACATAGTTTTGGAAGTCCTAGCCACGGCAATCAGAGAAGAAAAAGAAATAAAAGGAATACAAATTGGAAAAGAGGAAGTAAAACTGTCACTGTTTCCAGATGACATGATACTATACATAGAGAATCCTAAAGATGCTACCAGAAAACTACTGGAGCTAATCAATGAATTTGGTAAAGTTGCAGGATACAAAATTAATACACAGAAATCTTTTGCATTCCTATACACTAATGATGAAAAATCTGAAAGAGAAATTAAGGAAACACTCCTATTTACTACTGCAACAAAAAGAATAAAATACCTAGGAATAAACCTACCTAGGGAGACGAAACACCTGTATGCAGAAAACTGTAAGACACTGATGAAAGAAATTAAAGATGATACCAACAGATGGAGAGATATACCATGTTCTTGGATTGGAAAAATCAATATTGTGAAAATGACTACACTACCCAAAGCAATCTACAGATTCAATGCAATCCCTATCAAATTACCAATGGCATTTTTTTTTTAACAGAACTAGAACAAAATACCTTAAAATTTGTATGGAGGGGCTTCCCTGGTGGCGCAGTGGTTGGGAGTCCGCCTGCCGATGCAGGGGACACGGGTTCGTGCCCCGGTCCGGGAGGATCCCACATGCCGCGGAGCGGCTGGGCCCGTGAGCCATGGCCGCTGAGCCTGCGCGTCCGGAGCCTGTGCTCCGCGACGAGAGAGGCCACAGCAGTGAGAGGCCCGCATACCGCAAAAAAAAAAAAAAAAAAAAAAAAATTTGTATGGAGACACAAAAGACCCCGAATAGCCAAGGCAGTCTTGAGGGAAAAAAACGGAGCTGGAGGAATCAGACGCCCTGACTTTAGACTATACTACAAAGCTACAGTAATCAAGACAATATGGTACTGGCACAAAAACAGAAATATAGATCAATGGAACTGGACAGAAAGCCCAGAGATAAACCCACACACCTATGGTCAACTAATCTATGACAAAGGAGGCAAGGATATACAATGGAGAAAAGACAGTCTCTTCAATAAGTGGTGCTGGGAAAACTGGACAGCTACATGTAAAAGAATGAAATTAGAACACTCCCTAACACCATACACAAAAATAAACTCAAAAAGGATTAGAGACCTAAATGTAAGACCAGAGACTATAAAACTCTTAGAGGAAAACATAGGAAGAACACTCTTTGACATAAATCACGGCAAGATCTTTTTTGATCCACCTACTAGAGTGATGGAAATAAAAACAAAAATAAACAAATGGGACCTAATGAAACTTAAAAGCTTTTCCACAGCAAAGTAAACCATAAACAAGACGAAAAGACAACCCTCAGAATGGGAGAAAATATTTGCAAATGAATCAACGGACAAAGGATTAATCTCCAAAATATATAAACAGCTCATGCAGCTCCATATTAAAGAAACAAATAACACAATCCAAAAATGGGCATAAGACCTAAATAGACATTTCTCCAAAGAAGACATACAGATGGCCAAGAAGCACATGAAAAGCTGCTCAACATCACTAATTATTAGAGAAATGCAAATCAAAACTACAATGAGGTATCACCTCACACCAGTTAGAATGGGCATCAACAGAAAATCTACAAAGAAATGCTGGAGAGGGTGTGGAGAAAAGGGAGCCCTCTTGCACTGTTAGTGGGAATGTAAATTGATACAGCCACTATGTAGAACAGTATGGAGGTTCCTTAAAAAACTAAAAATAGAATTACCATATGATCCAGCACTCCCACTACTGGGCATATTCCCAGAGAAACCATAATTCAAAAAGACACATGCACCCCAATGTTCATTGCAGCACTATTTACAATAGCCAGGTCATGGAAGCAACCTAAATGCCCATCAAGAGATGAATGGATAAAGAAGTTGTGGTACATATAGACAATGGAATTCAGCCATAAAAAGGAACAAAATTCAGTCATTTGTTGAGATGTGGATGGATCTAGAGATTGTCGTACAGAGTGAAGTAAGTCAGAAAGAGAAAAACAAATATCGTATATTAACGCATGTACGTGGAATCTAGGAAAATGGTACAGATGAACCGGTTTGCAGGGCAGAAGTTGAGACACATGTAGAGGACAAACGTATGGACACCAAGGGGTTAAAGCCGCGGGGGGGTGGGGATGGTGGTGTGATGAATTGGGCGATTGGGATTGACATGTATACACTGATGTGTATAAAACTGATGACTAATCAAACCTGCTGTATAAAAAAAATAAAAATAAATTAAAAAAACAAAAGATCTGAGGCTTAACAAAAATGAATTTATGCTTGAAAGGCAGAAGTTTTTAATGAGATAAATCTATCTGGTGGCCCTGATCCAGAGGCAGAAGGGATGTGGGCTTGCCCTTGGCAAAGAGGAAGCCTTGATGCTCCCTCGGTTACTGTCTGCTGCCCCCAGGTGCTGCCTTCCTGCAGATCTCAGGACAGGAGCCAGAGTGTGGGCCAGGCACGTGTCCCCAGAAAGCAAGACACATTCAGAGCAAATACAGCAGCTGGAGAAAGAAGGAGTAAAGAGAGAATAATAACGGGAGAATGAAAACGGAGGAAGGGCAACACAGAAACAAAGCAAAGGAAGGAGGGTACAAAGTGAGAGAAAAAGGGAGGGCACAAGAAAGAGGTGCGGTGGGGGCAAGTGTGGGCTCCAAGAAAATGTGAGGCACACACTTGAAAGGGAAAGTCAGAGGAAGGATGAATTACCAGTGAGGAATTAGAAACTGTAAAATCTACTCAAACCAAGAAATGGGAGTATGTTTCTGTTTCCACCTAATTTATGGCAAGTCACAGATCTGAGGAGCCAGGCCTTGTATAACTTTCGCCATCTGGATTTACTTACTTTGACTTGTGTTCCAAGAAGCTATAAAAGCTAGAAGGGAGGTTCAACAACTAAGCAGTTTTCCAGACATATTGAAAGCAGTAAAGAGAATGAGTTTAGCAGTGTGCCTGTTAAAAACACACGTACATTCTGCAGCAGAGACATCTTTATGCTGGGCTTTTCCCACTGCTTGAAAGGTTAATACCACTGACGATATATTCCCTCAGTCTGCTTTAACTTGCAGAGACAGCGTTCTACTCACACTTCAGGTGTTCATATCTACCTGACACTCTGCAGAGTCTGGAGTCGCTTCCGATTTCTTTCCAGCTCTAATTTCCTCTTGTCAATTTTGGCTTCTAGGTTAGCTTCATCAGAGGCCACATTATTGAGCAGGTCTTTCGTCTTCTGAACCTGCACCTACATTTAACAGGAAATGAAGGAGACAAATGTGCCAATAAGGACCACGACCTGACTCTTGGAAGAGCAGGACTTCTCAACCTCTCAAGCCCAGCAACACCTCACTAAACATAATCAACGGGAAGCAAACAGAGCAAACCCTCCCCCAAGCAATCACTCGTTTAACCAACTATTTCCAGGAGGAACATCACATAGGCCTAGAAAGAATCATCTACTTTTTTTTTTCCATGAGAAGGTGTTTCCAAAGAGGGACCCAAAACCTCCTGCCACCTCACTTGTTTAGATGGTTACACCTCACTCTGAAGGGTTGGTTTGCCTTCATTTACATAGTTCAGGCTACCCCCCAGCTACAAATAACTGACTTACAGAATACATGCACACACAAACTTTATCTTAGCTTTACTTAGAAGGGAACAAAAAGAAATACCGCCTGGTCCCAGCTCTAATGCGCTGCCTGCTGGGACTGAGAGAAGGTTCCTCTCCCCTTCCCAGGCAGCTGAACCGCAGACTGAACTAAACAGAGAAACCACTCCATTAGGAGAAAGTGGCTCCCTGGGTGGCTCCGGTGTGACCCAGCCTTGGGGAGGGAGCCTGGGCAGCAGTGTGGCACAGGCCCCTGAGCAAGAGGGCAGCGTGAAGGGAAAGAGATCTCTGGCGAAAACCACAGGCCTCCCCATCCTCCCTCCCATAAGAGCAAGTTCATCTGAGGCAGGGCTAGTCTGAGTAAATGCACTGTCTTCACACTCGTGTTGTCTGGGAAGCGGGCCAGGTCAAGGCCTGTGGCTCAGAGCTGCAATCTGCTGCCCTAGGAATGACATCTGCAACTCAACCAGCCAAGTGTAGAACTGCTCTCCGCGCCCCCAGGCTGGGACTATCCAACTCTGCTGTTAAGTTCCAGATGGCCAAGGTGGGGTCCTCCCCTCCAGGACTTTACACGTGTGTAGCCCCATGAAGGTTTACTGTTTACCTGCAGGCCTCTGAAACACTATGCGGTCCACAAAGAAATCAGCTAAGGAGCCCAGACACGCTCCACGACTCTCAGAGACAGTGCATATTTGGAAGCAATCAGTTTTATCAGCACTTTATGGCTTAATTTTTTTTGTTTAAGTACACTAACCATTTCGAAGATGCTTTCATGAAGATTAATCATATCACTAACCACTGATTTGCTGCAAGTACTTTAAAAACCACAGCAGAGATGTGAGTTCACTCTCAGAGGAAGACACGGTGGGGCTCCTTTCTGAACAGACAACTCAGGTTGATGGCAACTATTTCTCTGAATCAAAGTCAGATTAAAACCTAGTGAATCTATCTGACCTCAAAAATAAAGAATTTTTAAAAAGGTTCTGTTCCTCAAAAAAGACAAATGTAATAAACACAAAAAATTTTCTCTAGCTTTCTGAAATAAATGGCCTATATTTCATAACCCCTTTTAAGTATCCATGTTGTTGTTTCGCTTTTGTTTTTAGAATTATCAAATATCATGTATATTTTCCAGCAACGAAAAGATATCTTAAGAGGTGTTCACCAAGAAATGAACTGTGCCCTCATTTGGTTGTTCCATTTTTAATACTGACTTAGTGCTAAAGGCACATTCATGTCATGCTAACCTGATTCAGCCAGAACACTGACAAGCACACAAGTATTATCATTAGTTTTTTTTTTTAATTTAGAAACAATCAGGAACTTACAAACAGCTGAAGTATAATACAAAACATTTTTTCCTAACCTAGGTGAGAATGAGCTGCTGACCTGATGCTCCATCACTTCTAAATATTTTAATGTGTATTTCCTGCAAATAAGGCCTTTCTCCTAAATAACCACAACACAATCATCAAGACAGGAAATGAACTCTTGACGCACCACCCCCACCCAACCCTCAGACCCACTGTCCCCATGAAGTTCTTAACAGCAGATGGGAGTGACCCCTGGCATTCAGTCATCAGGTCTCCTTAGCCTCCTTCAGTCTGGAATGGCTCCTCAACCTCTCCTGGATGTTCATGACAGGAACATGAACTTTTCACTGTTGAAGAGTAGGGGCCAGGGAATTTACAGAATGCCCCTCAATTTGCCTTTGTCTGATTAGCTTCAGATTACACACCCCTAGCAGGAATAGCACAGATATCACTGAACCCTGCATCCCATCAGGTGGGCATAATTCTGGTTTGCTCCATCACTGGTGATATTCCTTTGACCACTGGATTAAGAGGGTGTCTGTCAGGCTTCTCCTATGACATTACTCTTTTCCTCTCTGTAATTAATAAGTATTTTGTAGGGAGCTACTTTGAAACTATGTGAAAAACCTGCTCTTCATCAGTTTTCAATGTATTCATTTATCAGTGAGAACTCAAGATCTCCCATTTCATTCAATGGTCTATAATCCATTACTATAATTCATTCATTTTGATGCTTATCCTGTCCCTGGTGTGGCCAGGGGAAGCTGGCTTCTGTGTCCTTCTGACACTCTTTGAGCACTTCCTTGCTTTCTGGCACAAGAAGATCTTGTACTTTCTTATCCTAGCTTTGGAATCAGCCATCTCTCCTGAAGAGCCCTGCTTCATTTTAGTGGAGAATGGCATTTAGAAGCCAAGATCTGGGTGCTAGGTATGCTCAGAGCTAAGGAGTGTATGAATGTGTATGTGGGTGTGCATGTGTATGTACCTAAATATACTACATACATCTGCTACACGTACATACACACAACAAAATTTATTCCTATATCTATCTACATATTGAAATGCATGCATTTAGCCAACACCTCCTATTTCAGGGTTCAATCTAATTTTCTCCCTTTTCATATCTGTAACTCCATTCTCCAACAGTGAGAAACTTGGCTTCCATTATCTTTAATATATTTACTTATTTGATCAACCTGCCTGTATGTAACCATCTCCCATCTCAGCTACCCTGCACGTCTCACCCTGCTGAGGCTCCGACTCTCTGTGCTGGGCTGCGCAGGGAGTATTACTGTTTTATGATAAGAGTACTATAAAAACCAATCTTAGAGTTTTGTACAACTCACAGCAAATTCTTGTTTTATAACTATTCTTAATTTATGTAAGCCCCCCCTGTCTGTGTCTACTGAATAAAATGAATCTCTAATAATGACTGAATACCTACTATGTGCCACGCACTATCATAATGAATGCTCACAAGGACCCTATGTGGTGGGCATTGCCATTCCTCCCATTTTATAGATGCGGAAAGTGAGGCACAAAGAAGTTAAGTAACTTGCCTAAAATCACACAGAGGGATTCAAACCCAAGTAGTCTGAGTCCCCCTCACCTTCTGCTTTCCAAATGAATGATATAGGTGAGATAAGCAAATAACAACTGATCATGGGTAAGTAGTAAAGGATGATGATCATTCTATTTATACAGTGCTGTTTAAAGTTAAGAAAATCTGGAAATCATTTAAACGCCCAGCAGTGAGGAACTGGTTAAATCAAGTATGAAGAGTCCATAAAGTATTTACTAAAATTACTGCAGAATTTAAGAGAATTATTAAATTAATAAAACTGGCAAAATTTTAGCAACAGGAGAAATTGTTCATATTTGTAATGAGGGGAAAAATAACAGTAAGTCACCAACTATTCTAGAATGTGCTCTAAATTTTTCACCTCCCCACTAACCTGTCCCTTCTTTGTTATGAAGCCTGGCTTGTTCTGTCCTGTAGAGCCAGGAACTATTTTCCAGTCCCAGGCATAAAAACATTAAATAAAAGCGAAGTAATCTTACCAAAATATCTTTTATTGCAATTCTCATCACTTTTTCAGTCTCATTTATTTCCAGAGGTCTGGCAATTGCTTCTGTTCTCAGTTCCTATTGGAAACAATGAAGCGAAATTATTTTTTCAGAAGACGAATTCTCAAGACCAATTCCCCTGTCTAGATACGGCTTATGGACTGGTTCTCAAAAGCTTCATTACTGTGTGGGTCTCTGATGCAAAAGCACTCCCGCCATCACCTCCTCCAAGTGTCTTCCGTAATCCTCTGGCCAGCCTGGCCTCTCTCCAGTGCTCAAGGTCCCCTTCTCCAGCCACAGGCCCCCTGTACCCTAACACCATAGGAACCTGAACTCACCATCCAGAATCTTTTCTCCAAAATTTGCTTCTTTTACTTGCATTCCATTCAGGTGACCCCAAACCAAGTGCAGCTCAACTTGCTGTCTGAACCCACTGCCAGCCTGTACAATCTTCTTTGTGATCACATCCCTCTAAGTTGCCCATTACTGACAACTGTAACTAATGAGAAGAATCAGCTCGGCCCTGCCCCAGCACTAACCACTAACCATCAAGGTAGGCATCTGTGCCTATCATATCAGTATTGGAAATTTCCGAAACATGGGACTTCATTGCAGATGCAGTTATGGGGTTCCTGGAGCACTTTATCAAATCCTGTCTTGTGCTTCCTTTATTCCACAGTGTACATTACCTCCCCCACAGTGGAAAACTACTGAGGGCAGGGACCGTGACTTACTCAAGGACACAGAGCACAGTGCCTTCCTTGCCTGTGGTTGGTGCTGGTCCTCAATGAATATTTTGTTGAGTGTATGAAAAACATATATTGGATAGGGGATCTTCCTCAGATCATGACTGTACACAGAATATGAGAAGTCCTACATTCAGGGTCCCTTGGCTTCCATGGCAACAGTTCGGCCTCTGATTGCTCCATCAATTCATTACAGGACAGTACTAAAAGAGTCCCCAGGGAAATCCTGGTGAGCCTCACAATGAAGCCAGGGCTCTGCTGGCAAATAGCAAGTGACCAGCTCCTGTCTCTGGGACTGTGAGGAACACGTGTAGACATGTGCACTATAAACAGAAAACATGGAAAGCCGGGAGCTGCCTCACTGCTTATCTAAATTAGCTGTCAGACATTATGTCAGGTTTGTTCTGCCAACTACACTTCACCAGGTGGCAATATATCAAGAGCAGGGATGGTGAGCTAGCACCAAGTCCCCCGCTTCCAATCTGTTCCTAGGGCAGAAATGAAAAATGCCATTACACTGTAGCAGCAATGCCAGAACACAGGCAAGGCAGTGAGAGAGCAGTCATGGATGATACACCTGATGGGAATGGAATGAACTAAGTGCATTTAATTCAAAAACATTAGATATGAGCATGTATGCTTCAAATGCCATAAATCCTCCCAGGTAAGAATTAAACAGCACTCCATTTCTTCTCCAGCCAGTAGGTCCAAACCTCTGCTGCTCGTTGGAATCACCTGGAGATCTTTAAAAATCTGGCTCTCACCCCCAAACATTTTGATCCACTGGTATGGGGGATGACCTGGATGCTGGATGATTTAAAAAGCTCTATAGGAGCTCCAAGGGTGTTTTACGAACCCACTCTTCAACAGCTCCTTAAACACAGTGGACAGAGCACCCTCCTTGACTGGCATGGGCTAGAATAAGGACTGCAAATAAGTTTCAACTGTAACATCAACTTCAAATGATTGGTAGTGACTACCTAGATTAATGACTGGTTCCCAAACTCTGCTGTACGTTAGAACCACCCAGGAGACTTAAAACTCGCAGTGCCCAAGTCACATTTCATACCAATGACATCAGCATGGAAGCCAGACATCAGTAGTTTGTAAAGATCCCCAGGTGATTCCACTGGGCCACAAGATTTGGGAACCACAGGCTCAGAAGAGCATTTTGTTGGGAAGAATGCCAAGGCTGAGTGTACCGGGGGAAAGCATCATGATCAATAAAGTCTGCCACGGGCACAAGGAGGAAAGTTTCAGCAACAGGCACATATTTGCCATTCCTGAACTAGATGTCAAAGGTATTAGAAACAGACCAGAGCCCACCAGAAGCACAAACAGCAGCAAACACCACACGTATATTACTTTCCCCCACAGTAGCTCATTTAATCAGGTACCGTTTAATGAAATCAAAAGAACAGAGAAAAACAGAATTGGAAAAGAAACCTTGGAAATCTGCTTAGCTAAGGAGGTAACTGAGTTATCTGAACACTGCTTACCCTCAACTCCACCTCCTTGCCCAGCAAGTCATACAGAGATGCTCCCTTGGAAGTGATTTCAGAAGCAAGCTGCCTGGCTGCTTTCAAATCTGCAATCTGGAAGGAAAATATCAAAAACAGAAACTTCAGTGACAGGTTTTTATTAGGCATTCAGAAAGAATCAATCTGTTCATATAGGTTCCCACCTCCAGTCAGGATACTTGACTTACTTGACTATAGAACACATTTTCCACAAGACACATATTTACATCCTGGAGAAGAGAGTTCCCAAAACATCAGTTTAGGAAACACTGATCTAAGTACAAATTAGACCAATTCCAGGCCACCTGAAAAACCCAAATGTCAGGTCAAATGTACTCTGCAACAAGGAGCTGTGGGGGTTGTGAACGTTGACACGCTTCCTATAATAAGGGACCCTGGCAGTGGTGGGGTGAGCAAAGGAGGGGCAACCTGAGGGACACATGCCTACCGCAGAACCCTGATGCCCTATGTTTAACCCTCCCTGTCCCCTCATTCTCTGCCTTCAGGCTGCACTTCACTGGGCTGCTGTGAGCTCAAATGAGCTCACCGGCATGAAGGCCTTACAAGCTCCCACAAGGCACTGCTGTGAAGATGATGATGATCTGGCCCTGGGCACAGCTTCTTTCTTAGGATCTACACGTCACACACTCTTCCATGAATACACTAAACTTCCAAAGAGCCCAAACATTTCCCAGCTCAGCTCCCTCTCCCTCTCCCCAAAACAACGAATTCCCACCCTCTTTCATTTTCAAACCACTGGCAACTCTCACTCTTCCTTCACAGCTGGTGACTTCCTTCCCATTTCCTCAGTCCTCAGGACTCCTCTCGAATAGCTGCTTCCTCACCAGCAGCGAGTTCCCAGCTTCCTCTCTGGGAGTCCTCTCATCCGCCCCACTTCTCAGCACTGAAGTTCAGCAGAGTCCAGCCGCACACCACCCCCAATCCCGGACCTCCCTTCCAGGCACACTCCCCGCAAGCTTTCAGCTCTGATACCAAGATTAAAGCCATGAGCTGAGGTTTGACATCTCCACTTGGACACCTCGTGGACGTCACAAACATAACATGTCCTAAACCAAACTCATCTTTCCTGCCAGATCTGCTCCTTCCAAACTCTTCTCCACTTCAATAGACGGCAACTTTGTCCTTGCAGGAACTCACACCCAAAACTTTAGAGCCATGATATCTAATATCGTGCCCACTAGTCACGTGTGGCCGTTTTCAATGTTAAACCATTCAAAATTTAATAAAACTTAAAACTCAGTTCCTTGGTTATGCTGGCAACACGTGGCTAGCGACTACCGTATCACATGGCAGAGACACAGAACACATCCACCAGCCCGGAAGCGCTACCAGAGAGCTGCTTCAGGACCTTCCTTGTGCTGTCTGCTTTCTTCCAACCTACACCCAATCCATAAGACCTACCTTCAAAATATGCTCTAACCTCTGACCACTTCCTCCCAGTGAGGATCTGGCTCCTGTGTATGAGTTTTCAGGCCTGACCACAGGCAATCCTGGAGGCTTTACCTGGCAGGCCTCCTGGGGAAAGCTGTGCTCGAACACCAGTGCCCTGCAGTCTCTGAAGAGAGTTGCAGTCAAGGAACCAGGCCCTCTGGCCAGTCATGTTCTCATAAAGACCTGCATTCCTAGGTCTCTTTATCTGAGGCCTTGGGTCCAGGTCCTCTTCAGTGCCTCTGCTGAGGCTTCCTTATTGGGGAAGGTGGGGCAAACACCTTCTCCCACACCTCAGGGGGCATTAAAACTGCCAAAGCAGTCTTATGAAACAGGGAGTTGACACTTCCTCTGGCTTTAGTCCCTTGCTTATACCACTGCAGTTAGTGATTAAAGACACAGCTTTCATGTTTGGCTTGTTGCTTTAATCGAGTCCTCCGACGCCTGGCAGCTCACTCTCTCCCCAAGCTCAGCTGAGCACCTGACGGCCACTCTGCTCAAAGGCGCTGTCACCTCCTGCTTTCTAACAGGTCTCTGGGCTTCCACCTTTTTTCCCCCTTCAGTCCGACTCAATCCAGCAGCCAGAGTGATCCTTTTAATATGAAGTTTCAAATTATGTACTTCTTTGTTCAAAACTCAACGATTTTCCAGCTCAGAGTCAAAGTCTTGACAGTGGCTTTCCAGGGACCACAGGCCTGAGGCTGCCTCCCCTCCCAGCTCTCATCACATGGCCCCCTTGTGTTTCTTCAAACACACACAGCACACCTTTCCACTGAATGGTTTGCTCCTTCCCTCCTTCAGATCTCTGCTGAAACCGTCACCCAATCCCTGAGGCTGTCCTAGCCCTCTATTTAAGACACCTCCCCCGGCACCCCAGCCCCTTCCCTGCTTTACTATCCTCCACACATGCAGCCCATCTGACCTGTCACTCCTTCTGCTTTGCAGTTTACAGTCTGGCTCCCCCAACTGAGCCACGGGAACAGAGGATTCCTGTCCTTGTTGTTCACGCCTGTATCCCCAGTGCTTGAAGAGTGCCTGGCAGATAGCAGCAGGCTTTCAATAAAAAGTTGAATTTATTGTCCCTTCTGCTTTGATCCAAATGCTGATGAGCACAAAACTAACAAATGGCCCTCAGTCAAGGAGTAAGGAAAGAAGTGATGCTGTATTGATATAGCCCATTTCAGTGTTTGAGAAATAAACATTCCATCCCTCACTACAAGCCTTGCATTGTCCTTACCTTTGAGCCAAGGTCAAACTTGAATTTGCTGATATCTTCCTCTCCTATTTTAGAGTCCTCCATACCTTTGGTCTTCATAGCATTATAAAGGACAGAGGTGATCTTCAATAGTTCTTTCACTGCATACCCGTCTGCTTGATAAAGCTTCTTAGTATTGAGTTTTATATGTGCCTTAGTGGCCTATTTTCAGATTAAAAAAAAAAAGTTTAAGACCCATTCCACGTAAAATCTAAACCAAATTCCATGTAGGTCATTTGAAAATGTCACTGCCAACAATAGGGATATAACCAAATCATTTTAAGAATCAAACTTTCAAGTTACTCATATATTGCAAGTGGGTATGTTGACTGATACAATCTTGATGGAGAGCAATTTGGTAAATGACAACAAAATTAATTACAAATGCATATGTCCTTTGGCCCAGCAATTCCAATCCTAAGAACTTATGCTAGGGATATACATATTCACAAACAAAATGATGTGTATAGGTTATTTGTTACAGCATTGCTTCTAAGAACAAAAGTTACCAACAACCTAAATGCCTACCTGTATAAATTACATAAGTTATGGTATAAACTTGCAAGCAATACTACTCAGGTGTAAGAGAGGATAAAGAAACTCTATGTGTATTTGAAAAGTTCTCCAAAATGTACTGTTATATGAAGACAAGATTCTAAACGGTGGTGTGCAGTATGCCACCATTTGTGTAAGAGGAAGGAAAAGGAATATACAGTCTATTTGCTTAATTATGCCTAAAGAAACTCTGAAAGATATTAAGAATAGTGATCACTGGGAATGGAACTGGGCTGATGGCAAACAGAATAAAAGTCATTTTACTCTATATTGTTTCATGATTTAAAAAAATTTTTGAACCATAAAATATATTACCTATTCAAAAATAAGTAAATAAAATTCTTTTTTAAAATCTGCATGCTATTTAATTTCCATTAGAAAAATATTATCTATATAAAATTTTGGTCCAGTTTCTTCTCCTTTAGCTCTACTAGGTTTGAATACTTAAATACTTTAATTTTACTCAAGTAAAAGCAGGATCATATATCTGACATGAAAAATAAATATTTCACATCATTAAACTAATCGGGTTTAATTAGGTGTGCTCTTTATTATTTCTCAGGAATAGTAACTCATCTTTCCTGTATGTTACTTCCCTTTACTTTTATTTATCTGAGTAACTATGTAATGCATGTCTCTTTTCCCACGTCCAGTAATACCAGTGTTATGTAAGCATAATTTGTAATGTCAATAACTAGATTCATCATTAATCTTCAATTTATGTTCAATTCCCCTTATTATATAGTATTTCCATAATAATTTCAGATATTTCAGTCAACCTTACACTTTGCAACAAAGATTGTAAAAATTAAGATGTTAATTTTAAAACATTTTTAAAATTCCAGACTAAATAATCCTGGGCCCACTTAAAGTGATGCTGTCACAAGATGTCCTGGAACAGCTACTGCTTCAATTTCAACACGGCCTCCTTTGGGCAAAGCAGCAACCTGGTAAGCAGCTCTCACAGGAAAACTACTCTGGAAATATTGCCTGTAGACGTCATTGACAGTATGTCAGCCAGCAAAAGTTTTTTTTTTTTTTTTTTTAACATCTTTATTGGGGTATAATTGCTTTACAATGGTGTGTTAGTTTCTGCTTTATAACAAAGTGAATCAGTCATACATAAACATATGTTCCCATATGTCTTCCCTCTTGCGTCTGCCTCCCTCCCATCCTCCCTATCCCACCCCTCCAGGCTGTCACAAAGCACCGAGCCAATATCCCTGTGCCATGCGGCTGCTTCCCACTAGCTATCTACCTTACTACGTTTGTTAGTGTGTATAAGCCCATGACTCTCTCTCGCCCTGTCACAGCTCACACTTCCCCCTCCCCATAACCTCAAGTCCGTTCTCTAGGAAAACAGTTGTTTTTATCACATTCGTGAACTCACAGCCTACTGCTTTCAGAATTTCACCCATGTTTGTAAGAGCCTGTTTAGACTCTTCTGCCACCCCTCCTGGCACAAGCTGTCCATTTGCAGGGTCCATGCCTAGCTGTCCTGAAACGTAAATGGTCCTGCCAACTAACACAGCCTGACTGTAGGGACCAATGGCCGCTGGGGCATGGGACTCTAAATTTCTTAACAAATAATAAATTAAAAACAAAAAACCCAGAAAACTTTGTTGGTAAAATGGCTCCACAGAAGTCTGGTAATGGAGTGTGTTTAGAAATCTGGAACTTCCCTGGTGGCCCAGTGGTTAAAAATCCACCCGCCAATGCAGGGGACATGGGTTTGATCCCTGGTCCGGGAAGATCCCACATGCCACGGAGCAACTAAGCCCATGTACCACAACTACTGAGCCTGCACCCTAGAGCCCACAAGCCACAACTACTGAGCCCGTGTGCCACAACTACTGAAGCCTGCGCACCTAGAGCCTGTGTTCCGCAACAAGAGAAGCTACAGTGATGAGAAGCCTGCGCACTGCAACAAACAGTAGCCCCCGCTCGCCACAACTAGAGAAAGCCTGCGCAGCAACAAAGACCCAACGCAGCCAAAGATAAAAGTAATTAATTAATTTTTTAAAAAATAGAAGGAAAAAGTACTTTTAAAAAAGAAATCTGAAAGCAGCTCTAACTAGGCTTCATCTCCTTCTAATGTATTTAATTTTACAACTCCATCAAAAAACTGTGAACCAACCATGAACTGGGCAATTGCCTTAATGAAGAAAACTCGGTCTTGTTCAGTCTCAACATCAGAAGGGATGTCAGTCTGAGGTTCATACCTATTGCAGAGAGAGAGAGAGAGAAGACACAAGGTAATTAAGTATAAAGTTCACAAAAGAGAAGGTAAAGCAACTGAGAGGACAGTGGATCTGTAACAGGAAGCTCTGAGTTCCCAGCTAAGGCAGTAAGAGTAAGAAAGGCTTCAGAAGCAACACAAAATACCAAACATTCAAGAGAACAAATCTTCACCTAAAAATAGGTTTAACAAATTTCAAAAATCAAATTCGGGGCTCAGCTTACAAAATTAAATCTATCTCAGACTGTAAAGTTCCATTAAAATAATCAGAACTATTACTCTGGCTGCCTGCCCTTGACCCAGTGGAGTTCCTTTCTTCGAGTAACTGATGACACACCGGGGTCAACAGACAGCAGCCCTTGGCCTCTTCCTGAACAGCCCGCAAACTAAAAAGGGTTTGTTACATTTTTCAAAGGTTATAAAAAAAATAAGGAAGAATACATGACAGAGATCTTATGTAGCTTGCAATGCCTGAAATATTGACTATCTCCTTAGCAAAAAAGTTTGCCAACCCTGAATCATATTAGATTTTTCACACAAAATGAAATCTAAATTATTTCCAAGCCAGGTACTCAGCAGAATGTGTAAGGAGGTCCTGTCACTCCCTGATGAAGGTGAGGGGATGAAGAAGAATGCGGACCAGCACCCCTGTGTCGGCTTCCTACTGAGAAACATTCTCCTTTTACCGCTGCCTGGTACACTCCCTTCTCCCACAGCATTCTTTAAACTCAACTGATTTTTAACAGGTTACAACCAAGTCTGTCAAATTTTATTGAACTTTTCCTTTTGCTACACAAAAGCATCCTGTTTCTAGGTAGCTAATGAATAACATCTCATATACATTCTTAAGACCTCAGTAAAGTGCAGTTCTAACCTTTTCACAAGCCAGAGAAGCACTTCAGATACAAGTCCAAAATTTGGCGTGCGGAAATTTTCCATAGAAATATGTCGAGGGTATCCCAAGGCTCTCATCATCTCTGTAAAGTCTGTCCAAGGTAAAACACAATGTAGTCAGTTCCTCGTCAAACAGCAACGACTTATGAATGCAGACACTTTGCTTTCTCTTCTTACTCCCAACCTACTGACACTTTTATGGACTATTTATCAACTAAGAAGGAAAGAAAAAAAGAGATAAAAGTTAAAATACCTAATCTGCTTCCTGAAAAACATGTATTTAAATTCAATGGGAGAAGAGGAAACTGTACATTGAAATGGGGTTTAGGGATTGGCTGTGAATTTAATTTCTCTCTTGGATACCTCATTTATCTCTCGGATATCTTTCTCTTTACCACTCAAAATGAGAATTACCTGGTCACGGTTTAAATGTTAACCGTGGGTTTTTTTTGGGGGGGTGTGATGGTGGTAGGGTGAAGTTTTGTGTGTTATTTCTGTGTTTTTTGTGTTATTTCTGAGTTGACTTTTTTTTCCCACTGAGCATATAGGACCTTAATAACACAAAATTTAAACATTAGTTGCATTGTATTTAGAGAAATCTTCAAGAAAATGATTGAACTATTGAGCAGTATTTAGATGTATTATGAGACAGACTAAGAAACAGTAATACTAATACATGTTGATACCAGATGCTGCAGTCACTAAGCTTTAAGCAAGACTTGGAAATAAAACATCTTTTTAGTTCCCACGATGTGCTAAGACCTGTATTCAGTGTGCTTCTGGCTAAATAATGTCTGTCTTCACTCTTCTTGAAGGTGGATATTCAAGATGTCCCAATGACATTCACAAATAAGCTACTTGGGCCTTGGAGATTAGTCTGGATTTCACAAGACAACAGAAGAGAAAGCATAAGCAGAGGAAAGAGAAGCAGAGGGCCTCTGTTGCTGTTTTGGGGGATATTTAAATAGAGCAATGGAAAATAAAGCAGCAGCCTTCCCATCACACAGTAAGCCCTAAACACTTCTTGCCGCTAAGTAGCAGTGCAGTTCTGTTAATTCTACAGTATTACTGTTAAAATGGAGACAATCTGAATAAGAATCTTACCATGAATTGCATAATGTACAGCATTCATTTAAGGTCAAAATGCTCAGAAATCCCCTTCTTGTACACTTTAACCAACACAACTCCATTCAACATCCCCTAGCACAAGGCTGGCCTCCCTCAACTATGAGGAAGGAGAAACTTGTCTCTACAACACAAGGTCACCAAGAACCTCCAACTCCCAGAGGGCACAGATTCACACAATAGTGCTAATAGGCATTAATAAAATGTGATGCCTCTTCCTATATATTTCCATTATAGAAAAAAGAGCAATTCACAACTGAAAGGAGTAATCTTTAATGGGGAAATTTCAGGCACCAGCAATTGTTAGAAAATTGGCCTTAAAGAGGCCCCTCAGATCACACCAAATCGGCAATCACCTGCTACACCTATGCAGGTGGAGCCAGTTGGCTGAACTGCTTCAGATTCAGAAAATGAAAGCGTATAAAAGGCAAGAGATTCCTTCACACAGGCCTACCTTTTGATCCTCGTTTCCACCCACTTCTAGCTGTGTGACCTAAAGCAAACTACTTTACCTCTCTGCCTCAAAGTATTTCATCCAGAAACTTATACAAGCCACCTTACTGTTACAGTGAGGACTAAAATAAGATACTGAATGTAAAATGTTTGGTGTGTAACAGGTGTCCCCCAAAGTAGTAGTAACTAATTCTCTTTTCCCCATTCTTCCATTACCCCACCCTCCTAGCAAAGGCACTTGGATTCCCTTCTCCTCACCAGCCCCTTTAGAAAAGATGCAAGCTTTGGAGGTTAGACACCCTGATTTCACACTTCAGCGCCAGCTCTTACCACCTGTGTCCCCTGACCTGACCTCTCTCTGCCCAGTTCCTCATCTCTAAACACAGGTGCACAGTTGTTCAGAGAAGTGAATGAAACGATGAACACACATAAGACAGTAACTACCTGGCAGATCATAAAAACTCGAAAAAACCGAAGCCTCAATTATTATTCACCAGCCCCCTCCTCGGTTGTTGTTCGTTTCCCGGAGCTCTAAGCTAACCCAACTCAAAAACGGTCTCTGCGTTTTCCAATACAGTAGCGAACAGACCCATAAGTCAATTAAAGTTAAATAAAATTAAAGCTTCGGTTCCTCAGCCGCACTAGCCGCATACACATACACAACCTCCCATCATCGCAGAAAGGGCTGAGACAGGGCTGGGGCGCTCAGCCTGGGGGGCGGCGGGCCAGGGGCGCCCCCGAGCCGCAGAGGCCCGGGAGGGGGCTCCAGCGCGAGAGCCTTAGCGGGGCTCAGACAGGCAAGCCGGCGGGCCGGAGCCCCGAGTCTCGGGAGGACCGCAGGTCACAGGGGTCAGGGTTGTCTTACTGCGGAGGTCCCGGAAAGACATGGCGCCCTGGTCCTCAGGATCCCGGAGTCTCCGCCGCTTGCCCCTCAGCACTCATGGGTTTCTATGGCAATGCACGGAGCCCTCTACGGCGCGCAGCCGGGGCCAAACAGGACTGGAGGCGAAACGGCCGGGCTGTGTGCGCATGCTCCATGCGCACCAGAGAAAGGGCAGCCGGCAGGGGACGTCCCGCGACGCTGAGGGAGGGACGTCCCCTGTAAAGTGGGCCGGGCCCACTTTACACAGTTTGCAGACGTTTGGCACTGGCTGACATGTCCTGAGGACCTACTAAGTGCCTGACGCTGTGCGAGGCACCCTACGTACTACTTCTCATTTCCTCCTAAACTCCTCTAGAAAGAATGTACATAATATCACGAAGCCGGGTCTCCAGCCTGTGTCTTGTGCCCAGCACACTTCTCTCTGGCATGTGTAAAATGGCTGGCCGCGCCCGCGTCCGAAACCCGCAAGAAGCGCCTGCAGCGTGAAGCAGTTGAGGCCACAGATTGCGAGTCGCAGGCAGGCGCTGACCGCGGGGCGGCGAGAGCAGGCCCGACAGCCATCTGCGCGTGCGCAGCCGTCTCGCTCTTCACGACAGGCCGGAAACTGACCCGGGTCTTCGCGCGCCGGCGGTTGTCCTGGCAACCGTGAACTCTGGCAGCTGGAGCTGTAGTTGCTCTTGGTGGAGGGAGAGGGCGGCTCCGGGGTGAGGACCGCGCCCAACATGTGGCCAGATGAGCTGTGATCTAACTTGGGAGTCTTCTCTACTGGGCTGCCACGGTTGGGGATAGGTGACAGCAAGGGCTGGGGAGGCGAAGTGAGCTGAGCCCAGAAGGGTAGGCGAAGACGAGGGACTACACCCGCGGGACGCCCTCCGCCCCTGCATTGGTTTTGGCGAAGTAACAGACACATAAAGGCACAGGACCTTAAAGAGAGTCCCGAAATAGACCCACATATACATGGTCATTAGAACAAAGATGGTAAAGCCCTTTAGTGGAGAAAGAATAATCTTTCAGCAAATGGTTTTGGAACAGTTGGAAATGCAAGTAAATGAACCTCCACCCTTGCCTAAGAGTAAAACCTAAAAACTATTGGGTTAGCCAAAAAGTTCGTTAATATCGCACATAAAAACCGGAATGAACTTTTTGGCCAACCGAATATAACTTTTCCAGAAGAAAACTTATGGGGAAAACTTTCTGACTGGGTTAAACAAGAGTTCTTAGATATACCAAAAGTATCATCCTCTTAAAAAATGTTTTTTGATAAATTGCACCTCATCAAAATTTAAAACTGCTCTTCAATACACTAAGAACATGAAAAGATAATCCAGAGTCTAGAAAAATAAATTCACAAAACACATCTGATAAAAAGCCTTCTATCCAAAATACATAACACTCTCAAAACTCAGTAAAAAAACCCATCCAGTTAGAAAGTAGAAAAAGGAACTTCCCTGGTGGTCCAGTGGTTAAGACTCCAAGCTTCCACTGCAGGCAGTATGGGTTCCATTCCTGGTTCAGGAACTAAGATCCTGCATGCCACACGGCCCAGTCAAAAATTGTTTCAAAAAAATTAAGACAAGAAAGTAGACAAAAAACTTAAAACAGATACTTCACAAGGGAAGATGTGGCAAATGTCAACAAAAAAAATTAATCAATAGTCAATCTAAGAAATGCATAGTTTATTCGGGCCAGCCTGAGGATTATAATCAGGGAGACAGTCTTTCAGAAAGCTCTGAGGATGTTCCAAAGAGGAAAGGGGGAGGCTAGTATGTAGTGATTTTGACTAAGGGGTAGGTGCAGTCAAGCATACATCTTGGCAGAAGGTTACTGCTATTCATGAGGAGCAGATATCTTAGTTAATGGTTGTAGTGCTTTTCTTTTCTTTTCTTTTCTTTTTTTTGCGGTACGCGGGCCTCTCACTGTTGTGGCCTCTCCCGTTGTGGAGCACAGGCTCCGCACGCACAGGCTCAGCGGCCATGGCTCACGGGCCCAGCCACTCCGCGGCATGTGGGATCTTCCCAGACCGGGGCACGAACCCGTGTCCCCTGCATCGGCAGGCGGACTCTCAACCACTGCGCCACCAGGGAAGCCCTGTAGTGCTTTTCTAAGTATGGGAAGATGCAAGAAACTGAGTTCATAAAATTTTCTCCCGAAAATATCTGAGAGCTAGTTCTGCCAGTTTTCCCAGAGCACAAAATGCCTCATCCTGATACTGGCCCTGAATTTCTTTCAGGGTGTGTTGTAAATCAGTGACTGTAGTGACTAATGACTCAATTCTTGTAGAATTGGATGGTGAGCAACATTCTTTGTTTTACAATCTCCTCCTTTTCCATCTTAATTTCTACCACGGTTTAGGAAGCATTTCATGACCAGTTTGTCCCACGGCTCTAGGAATGCTCATACCCAGGTCAAGCAAGGATTTCATTGATAGGCCACGCAATGTGCTATCACTGGACTGTTAACAGTAGCCAAAAGCCTCTGGACCACCTTGCCTGTCTTTCTAGTCTTTTATGGTCCAGGAGATGCTTCTCTCTTACTGCTTTTTCCCGTATCTAGAGTTACACTATTAATATCATCAATCTTGGAACTTCCCTAGTGGTCCGGTGGTTGGGACTCTGCGCTTTCACCGCCAAGGGCCTGGATTCAGTCCCTGGTCAGGGAACTAAGATCCTGCAAGCCACGCGGTGTGGCCAAAAAAAGAAAAAAATCTTCAATGTTATAGAACTGTATATTTGATCAATTGTTTCAAGTAGCCTAGTCATTTTCATCAGAGGCTCAGTCACATATTCAGTAATACAAGAAACTATAATCTTGCAAAATAGACAGAATACAAGTAACATTAATAAGGTCCTAAGTAGGTATTTAAGCTAAGAACTTCCATTAGGTGTGGCCCAGTATCTCCCCAGATCATCTGACCCAGTGTGTTCTGCACCAATCGCTATCTTTAAGGGAAATGTTATATTGGCATTGCACACAAAGTTCACCAAAGATATCTGCATCATGACCCCTTACAAGATTGAGAAAGGAATGTTTTCTAAGGAGTTATATAACTGGCATCAGAAGAAGAAAAATTGAGCTTTATGGCTGAGCAGGTATTTCTGCTGCTGGGGAGGTCTGGTTAATGCATAATATAGATACACAATGCACACTACAGGGGAGAGAGGAGGCCCAAATGGGCAGAAAAAAATTTATGTTTAAATCTTCTTGTCTTGCCTTAAAATATGAATTTTATTTCATTACAAATAGTAAGGAAAAGATGCTCAAGATTATTAGTCATTAGAGAAATGCATATTAAACCACAAGATATCACTACACAATTATTAGAATAGCTAAAACAACAAAAAACCACAAATACCCTGACAGTGCCAAGGAATTGAAAGGATGTGGAGCAAATTGGGCTTTCATACACTATTGGTGAGAATATGAAAACGGTACATCCACTTTGAAAAAACAGTTGGTAGTTTCTTAATAAAGTTAAACATATACAACATACAGCTCAGCAGTCTCTCTCCCAGGTATCTGCCCAAGAGAAATAAAAACTTATGTTCACATAAAACTTATACATAAATGTTGAGAGCAGCTTTATAATTGCCCCAAACTGGAAACCACTCAAGTGCCCCTCAACTTATCAATGGATAAACACATTGTGGTACATTCACACAATGGATTACCACTCAGCAATTTTAAAAAAGCAAAGAGCTAAAATACGCAAGGACAATGATGAATCTCCAATGTCTTACGCTAACTGGAAGAAGCCAGACTCAAAAGGCTTCGTACAAGGACTTGAGGACACGGTGGGAGGAGGGGAAGCTAGAACAAAGTGAGAGAGTAGCACTGACATATATACACTACCAAATGTAAAACGGATGGCTAGTGGGAAGCTGCTGCATGCCACAGCGAGATCAGCTCGATGCTTTGTGACGACCTAGAGGAGTGGGATAGGGAGGGTGGGAGGGAGGCTCAAGAGGGAGGGGATATGGCGATATATGTATACATTCACTTTATTGTACAGCAGAAACCAACACAACATTGAAAAGCAATTACACTCCAATAAAGATATTTAAAAAGGGCTTCCCTGGTGGTGCACTGGTTAAGAATCCGCCTGCCAATGCAGGGGACATGGGTTCTAGCCCTGGTCCGGGAAGATTCCACATGCCGCGGAGCACTTAAGCCCGTGCGCCACAGCTACTGAGCCTGCGCTCTAGAGACCGCAAGCCACAACTACGGAAGCCCGCGCGCCCAGAGCCCATGCTCCGCAAGAAGAGAAGCCACCACAATGAGAAGCCACCGCAATGAGAAGCCCGCACACTGCAACGAAGAGTAGCCCCCACTCGCCGCAACTAGAGAAAGCCTGCACGCAGCAACGAAGACCCAACGCAGCCAAAAATGATAAATAAAATAAATTTATTTTAAAAAAAGGCTTCATACTGTACGATTCCATTTATGTGACAATCAGAATGAGATGAAAATATAGAAACATAAATCAGTGATTGCCAGGAAGAGTTGGGTGCAAAATAATTTTGGGGGTGATGAAACTGTTCTATATCTTGATTGTGGTGGTAATTACATGACAGTAGCCGTTTGTCAAAACTCATAGATCTGTGCACTAAAAAGGGTTAATTTTACCACATCTAAAATTGTATCTCTTGGGAATTCCCTGGGGGTCCAGTGGTTAGGACTGGGCGCTTTCACTGCCCTGTCGAACCTGGGGCCCAGGTTCTATCCCTAGTCGGGGAACTAAGATCCCACAAGACGCGTGGCATGGCGAATAGAATAGAATAAAATAAAATATTATATCACTAAGCATGACTAAAAACAAAAAAGCTTAAAAAAAAAACCTATCCAATGGCTTCCCATCACTGTTCAAAGAAAACTCAGCCCTCTGAGCTGTGCCTGCTGTGCCTCCTCTGCTCCCTTCCCTCCATCTCCCCTCCCTGGCTTCCTGTTGAACACGCCCACCTTCTTCCTGCTTTCTGGCCTTTGCACAAGTAGTTCACTCTGTCCGGAGTGCTCTTCCCAAGTTCTTCAGGTCTTTGTGAAGAGGCCTCTTGGACCATCTGCACCAAAGCAGACCCTTCCCAGCCCCCTCCCTGTCATATCACCTTCTTTTATTTTCTTCGTAGTATGACCTGGAAACATCTCGCTTGCTTCTCTTCTGTGTCTCTGATCTGGACATGTATGCACTGTGGAAACAGATATCTTCTCTGTCCTACTCAACTCTCTCCCCAAGTCTACAATAGTATCTGGCACTACACAGGCTCTCAGAACATACATGTTGAGACTGAATGAGTGAGTCGGAGTACAATGCCTCACCCCAGTGAAGTGAAAGGTCTTTCAGGAAAGGCCACGTCCCCTGCCCTCCTCCCATGCTCTGTGCTGGCTGTGATGCCCAGTTCAGAGCTGACACAACAGGCTGCCTGAAGTCCACCAGATCTGGTGTAAGTTAGGGCAAACTGGTGTGCACAGGGCACCTAGTGCAGTCTCTAAAGCAGTCAGCTTTGTGA